GCAGGGGTTCTGTTTTAAAAATTGACTTAAATAAAGAAATTTTGACTAAACCCGACTAGGCACACTGTTCTCGTAACAGTGTGCACCCCTGTATGAAAATGTTAATATCTCTCTACTCCAAAGTCGTATTAACGAACGGTTTGTTGAGTTGGAAACTAGACTCATAGACCTTCGATTCGGTAGGTAGAACACACCATAACTCCCAGTATATTGAGAGAAAAGCTCATCAACATTTTATCCAAATTTCAGTGAAATTTAAACCCGTAACTTGCGCGCGATCTTTGTCGAATTTTTAATCACAACTCAAATGACTTCCAATCTTAACGTATAACTATCGCATCATTTAAATATCTCATAGAAATTATCTTCCTATCGAATTAGCCCATTTACAGCATGATAACGCCGAATACAAGGTGTAACAGTTTCGATCTGGAGTTAATTATCTTTGGCTAAGATTTACCCCTTCATCTTTGATTGATTTGTTCAAAAAAGATTTTAACATTTTTTGAGTCAAACAGTATTGATATCACGTTGACAAATTAGATATGGTTATTAATTTGCAGTTATCTTTTCAAGCGATTTTCTAATTCATCGTTTTTGCCTCACTGAGAATTAACTCTCTTAAACATTGGCCACTCTATTCTAAACAAAAAATAAAATCACTTCTATGTAAAAAATCTCAAATTTTCAAGCTATTATATGTGGCAATTAATATCTAAAATCCATTTAATAAATTTGCTTTAGCTTTCGAAGGGCGAAGAGTGAAAGAAAGACGAGGATATATTGTTGTTTTATCTTTCTCACTTGACAAAATATACTATTTATGTAGGATATGTCGATGCACTCAGCAGCAAAACACTCGAATCAGTCCAACACATAGAGATAAATCTCTGAAAATGGCCACCTTCTGATTACCGTTATAGTTGCATGCTTTCACCTGTTAAATTGCAATTCTTACGAATACTTTGGGTATTGCTTGCATCATTTTACGGAATAATGTGACATAGAAGATTAAAGAATGTATTCGTAGATTAAACCTTCTACCTTGGTTGTATTTTGAGATATATATCATTAAAACTTAAGTAACCAATTATTTAAGTGAGACTTAGCTAAGTTAATTACTTATAGTTTGCGGTTCCTTTTATCCAAGACCATGGCACGTATTGTCTGTTCTGGCTCAACAAGCCTTACAGATTTATCCTTTGGGCTACGCTATCATCGAGCTCAAAAACGCACATACCAAACTTGTGTTATGCCTTTTAAAACTCTTTATTGCTTAATGTATCATGCACACCCCTTCTTCAAAAATTAATCAGCCTACAAGCATGTCAATCCTTCTCCAATAACCTTGCCTCCCTCTATTATGGGCGTCACCAGGGGCAGAGCTTGGCGGGCAGAAGGGAATTCAGGTGAACCACCTTTGCCGAAAATTACACTGTGTATGGTCAATATGTATAGCCGTTGATTTTATAGGAGCAGCATGCACATGGCCCTTCTTTTATGTTTTATAATTTGGAACAATTACGGACATGATATAGCCATACATGTGTTACAATGGAGTATAAAAACGCAATTATTTGTTATTTCACACTATACACAGCTTGTATATAAACACTAATAAAACGAAAGCATTGATCTTGTGATCAAATTTCAAATACTGTTGTACGTTTTAAAACGTAAAGTTGAAACTGGTTATGGAGCTGGCTTTTGTGGGGAATGCTCCTACACCTATAGGACAAAAGTATCTTGTGTCGACCACCAAGCTCTCTCGAATGAATTCGACTCTTTCTGTTTACACCNCTCATTACATTCATAAAAAAAGATATGAGAATTTACCTTAAGTAATTGAGCGTGAGAGCCAAATGAATCGAAAGATTCATGTTTGGTTCGGGAAGGGATTATGGAATTTTGGAAAGGAATGGAAAAATAATCTACTTTCTATGGCTATATCGTCCTGAAGACGGATGCGACGGGAAGAAGTGGCATTTGGAAGTGTTGCTGAACTTCGTGGAGGGGCTATTGAACAACTCGAAAAAGCTCGTTCTCGTTTACGGAAAGTAGAAAGCGAAGCCGAGCAGTTTCGAGTGAATGGATACTCCGAAATGAACTTGGTGCTTTATGTTTAAAGAGGCATGAAATGATTTGCTTGAGTTACTTTTGCATCAATTTAAACACATTCATTCCAAGGTCCTTATAAACACACAAACTTAAAACATGTGTACATAAATAATATATACTATTGGATTTCCAAGCTCACATGTGCTAAGAAAAATAACTGGGATGTACAATACTAGGTGGAAGGGAATTTTACTGATGGTAAAAGGGATTTGCCGGTGGCAACAAGGGTAGTGGCACACCTGAAGCAACCATGAAATGGTCATTGAAACCAGAATAATTCCTGAATATCCGTCCTGCGGCAGCATCTGATCTGTTATGTTGCATGAATTGGCCAGGGTGCAGCTGTAAAGTAGGAGCAGTGCTAAAGTTAGCATCTCGACTAACTTTTGACTGCAGGGTTAACTTGTGAAGGCGCTTCATTTTCCGTCGTTTTTGTCGGGACTGCTGGATAGAAACACCCTCATTAGATGAGGCAAGATTCTTGTTGGCGACAACTTTTTGCCCTTGAGAAATTGGCTCACATTGAGTTCCTCCGCTTCTCCCATCACATTGGAACTTAGCAGCAAAGCCTGAATGTTTTTCTGGGATACTTAAGTTTGCCCTCTCTCTTTCAAGCTCGGCGATACGTGCTCTAAGTTGGTCAGGTGAGTATTCTGATTGAAGGTTGTGCAACACAATGCGGTTAACTGCAGCTCTCAGTGCAGATAGTTCATAAAATATAGCCTTTTCTTGGGCTTGACGAGAATCGTGACCATCACTACGTATTTGTTTGGCTAGCACTATTGAGCCCTGAACATAGTTCTTCAGGAGAGGAGCAGGTGGAAACGAGTCAACAAGTTCAAATTCATAGATGTATTTGATTGCCAGCAGCAATTGCCTTTTCCTGATAAGATTTTCGATAAAGCATGGAATCTTATCAGCTAACCCGAGGATTCTGATCAGATCCATTACCTTGCTGGTATGCTGAACAATCTTCAAGAAACCTATAAGGTCATCTGAATCAAAAGAGGATGACAATTCAAAAGTAGCTAAAAAGTGCAAAAAGCCTATGGCCTCCCATGATCCGATCAATGTTGCTCGCCACTCAACTGCAAACTCAGTAGCCTCAGTTTTAACCTGAGGTCTTATTTCTGGAGAAACTTCTCTCAGCTGTTCCAACAAATCAGGGAACCTAGTCATAACTGATGAAAACTTTTTGCTATCCCTTTTTCTTTTTTTGGTAAGTTCATTTTTCGACTTCTCCCGTTCTGCAGAATAGCACTTCCTCAATGCATCCAAGACAATTTTTGCGGGATCTGATGTGGCGTGGACAACACTCGAAGCACAACCAGATATTAAAAGCTGACCCTTGCTTCTCCTTTCAATATTGTTGGAAAGAGGTTCACCTTTAGAGTGAGAAATACCAAGTACATGACAAATCTGAATTACATTCGCATGTTGTGCTACAGTGCGACACAAACTCTTTAGCTCATTTTTATCAAAGGAAGAGGCCAAGCTGTAGGCACCTACTAGAAGCAGAAAACCCAAGATCGCCAAATGGTTTTCTATTTCATCTATCATCTTTGATTTCCAGTCAAATGCAAGCTTGCTCGCTTCTAACTTAGCCTGTGGTGTAATATCTGGAGAGATTCTAATCAATTGTTCCAATAAAAGGATACAACTTTTCCTGATAATACTACGATTACATTCTATCTTTTCTTTACGAGGTTTTTCAGGATAAAACCCTCCAAGTGCTTCCAGCACAAGCATCCCCGAGTCAGTTGATAGTTTAAGAGCTGTAGAGACTTCAACGCGCAACAACTCGAGCTCTTGACAATGATCATTTAAAAAAGCCTGCAAATTCTTACCTCCCATGCCCACAAGGATGACAGCGAAAGCATCAGAATGACCTAACTTGCAAGTGGAGGCCGTTTCAGAGGATGAAGTAGAGCTGAGGGCCTTTGTATCAGTGAGAACAGATGGACAGGTTGATGCCATCTGTTTCACCCGAGTCTGCTGTGGCTTTTGAGCCTCAGAATTGACAGATGATGTGGTTGCATCTGCCTTCAGCCTTGTGAGAGATTCTATACACTCTTCAAGCTGAGTAAGTGGGTATTGAGATTGAAGCTTGTGATCCAAAATGGATCCAATAACAGCTCTAATAGAAGCTACACTCTGTTCAATGGCTTCAATCTTTTCTTCGACTGAGCATGTTTCTCTACCGCGGACAGTCTCCGAAATCCACATAACATGTTTCACATAATCTTTCAGAATAGGTATTGGTGGGAAACGGTCCACAAGCTCAAAAGCAAAAGCAAATTTAACTGCTTCAAGATTCTGTTGCTTGGCTATGAGATTCTGGATGAAACAAGAAATCTTCTCCGTGAAACCAAGAATACGACATAAGTCTTTTGACTTGTTGTGCTCAACAACAATAGTTAGCAGGCTCATAAGCTCATCTGAATCAAAGGCAGAAACCAGCCTGTAAGAAGCCAATAGGTACATGAAGCCCAAGATCTCTAATTGATTCCCATTTGTTGCCCTCATTTTAACCTTCCACGCTCTCGCAAGTTCCATTGCTGCTTCTCGCACAATAGGTTGAATCTTCGGTGAGACTCTAATCAACTGCTCTAATAGGAGAATGCAACTCCGCCTAGCAACACTGGCCTCGAACTCTGTTTCTCCCTTCCTCAAGTGGGGAGGATAGAACCCTTCCATTGCATCAAGCACCAGTTGTCCAGGGTTCGGAGACAATTGAAGAGCTTTACAAACTTCATCAGACATAGAATCCAGCTCCTTCTCGCGCTCATTTAGGTATATCTGTAAACTCTTCCCGTCCATTGTGACAAAAAATCTTATTTCAGCAGACTTAGTAGTGGTAGCACCAACTCTATCAACTTCCGCATAATCAGTAGGCTCTGTCTTTACACGAGCATTACAAACAGTTTCCAGCTGCTTCTCTTTCTTCTCAAGCACTTTAAACCGACGTTCAATGAGTTCCTCTCTTTGTTTAAGCTCTCTAAACCTCTCCTCAACCTGTTTCTCTTTAAGTTCTATACCGTCCATTCTTTTCTGGAATAATCCTTGCTCTTTTTGGAAATTTTCCTTTTCTAATTGAAACTCACCATCACAATTTTGGACAGATGCGCTAACCGAGCCCAGTTTCTCCTCCCTAGAATCAAGTTCTTCAAAGCGCTGCCTACATGTTTTTCCAACAGCACTAATCTCTCCCTTCGGTAATTGGATTCTCTGCTTGAATGAAGTTAACTCCTGCTCCTGGAGTTCAAGTTTTTTCTTAGTTGTATCCAAACTCTTGTCCTTGAGCTCGAGTTCCTTCTTCACTGAGGAAAGGTGGTCTTCCATGATTCTAAGTTGCTTCTTCACCGAATCCAAGTTGTTAACCTTTCCTAGGAGTTCATTTGCCACTGAATCCAAGGTAGTTTCCTTCTCCCTAAGTTTCTTTCGGATGAAATCCAGGTTATGTTCCTTATCTCTAAGTTCCCTTTTCACATAATCTAACTTAGTTTCCTTCACCCTTAATTCTTTCTTCACATTGTCCAAACAATTTTCCTTTGCCATAAGTTCTTTCCTCGCAGAACCCAAGCCCCTTCCTTTAGTTTCTATTTCCTTCTCTATCGACTGCAAAATCTTTTCTTTACTTTCGAATTCTTCCACTCGTTCGTCGAATTTTCTCTCTTTCAACTCAAGGGCATCTGTTTCTTCACGAATCCTGCTTTGAATCTTGCTGAATTCCTTTGAACGCTCCTCAAACTCCTTCTCCATCGACTGCAAAATCTTTTCTTTACTTTCGAATTCTTCCACTCGTTCGTCGAATTTTCTCTCTTTCAACTCAAGGGCATCTGTTTCTTCACGAATCCTGCTTTGAATCTTACTGAATTCCTTTGAACGCTCCTCAAACTCCTTCTCCATCGACTGCAAAATCTTTTCTTTACTTTCGAATTCTTCCACTCGTTCGTCGAATTTTCTCTCTTTCAACTCAAGGGCATCTGTTTCTTCACGAATCCTGCTTTGAATCTTACTGAATTCCTTTGAACGCTCCTCAAACTCCTTCTCCATCGACTGCAAAATCTTTTCCTTAACTTCAAATTCTACAACCCGTTCCTCGAATTTTCTCTCTTTCAACTCAATGGCACCTGTTTGTTCACGAATCCAGCTCTGAATCTTATTGAATTCCTTGGTACGCTCCTCAAATTCCTTCTCCTTCATACTAATCTCCTTAAACCTATTCTCTACAAACTCCCTAAGATCCTCAAGCTGCTTGCGCTCAAATTCAATTTCCTCCCAAAAGCGTTCCACCATCTTCTCCTGCTCATTCAACTTTTCCTCTCTCAATTTCACAATCTCATCAAACCCTTTTCTGGCCAAATTCAAATCCTTCCACTTGTATTCAAGATTCCTAATTTCCCCTTCGCGGTATACACAAAACTCTTCCTTTTTCTTCTCAACGTCCTCTCGTTTCTTCTCAACGGATTCCCTAATCGAATCAAGTTCCTTAGAACTCTCCGTTACTGACTCTTGAACTGAAGTCAAGTGTTTTTCTTTGGCTTCGAGTTCGTTGAAGCATTCTTTCAAACAGGTGGTGGATACGTTCAAGTCCTTCTCAAAGTTCCTCCATTCCAACATTAACGTCAAAATTGATTTCCTTAAACCATTCTTCTTCTCCTCATTTTGTTGCATCGCTTCCCCTATCTTCTCCATTACAGACATTATAAGTCAAACAAAACCCTAGAACTGTGGTCAGACTCAGAGTAAACAAAAGGGGAAAGTTGATTGAGAAAGAAATAGGTCTATACTCGGCAATATATAAGAGGAGTACACCTTTTCAAGATAGGAAACGGTTTTCCTTAAAATTTAAATATTCATTTTACTTGTAAACATTCTTAAAATAGGAAACGGTTTCCTTAAAATTATAATCATTTTTAAAATAGGAATAGGTTTCCTTAAAATTATATTCAATACTCATTTTACGTTAAACATTTTTAAAATAGGAATCGGTTTCCTTAAAAATTATATTCAATATTCTTTCACTTGTAACGGAAGCAATATCTGATTCTAATTAATGGAGACATTGAGGAGTTACGATATTTCATAACATATACTAGTAGTAAACAAAATTAAATATATGATTTTTGTCAGTTTTGCCACCTTCACAAAATATAAGAAATTTCGCATCATACATGTATTGTATTTTTTAATATATTAAATTTATATTATTATGATTTAATTATTAGCTTAACATATGGAGTACTGTTTTTCAAGTTAATTGCTAATTTACATAGAATTGATGAGTTTTACTTATAAAGTACTTTATTCATTCCATGTTATGTGACTGAGTTTTGGGTACGAGCGTAAGCTAATTTTTTATGAATTCGAATTATAGGTTCTTTATTTATTACAACAATAACATACTCAGTATAATCTCACCGGTGGGGTCTGGGGAGGGTAGTGAGTATGCAGACATTACCCCTATCTGGAGAGGTAGAGAGGCTGTTTCCGATAGACAAGAAAAAGTGCAAAGAAAGAATAGGGGAGAAAGGCTATAAGAAAAGAGGAGAAAAGGTAGCATCAAATAATTTTAAAATGAGCAAAGATTCTTTATTATTCTTAAATAAAAATATATATTTAAAAATTACATAAAATTATAATAATTTAAAATTCAAAATATTGAAAAATATTTTAAAGTTGTGATCAGAAAAAAAAATTTGATTAATGTATTAAATAATTTTCTTAATGGGTGTGTTAAAACTTCAAACACACATATTTAAAATGAACGGAAGGTAGTAACGTTTTGTGCACTACTAAATATTGAGATTAATGTTTGGTCAAGCTTCAAAAATCAGCTTATTTTGAGAAATATTTTTTTCAAAAGTGTTTTTTTAAAAAAGTGTTTTGGGTGAGAAGCAGTTTGTGTTTGATTAATTAATTTGAAAAGCGCTTTTGAGTAGTAATTAGTGTTTGGCCAAGCTTTTCAAAACTGCTTCTAAGTGTATTTTTCTAAAAAGTGCTATTAGAAAAGTGTTTTTGGAGAAAAGCTAATTTTTTCTGCTTCTCAAAAACTGCTTCAGCTTCTCCTCAAAAGTGTTTTTTTCCTTCCAAAAGCTTGGCCAAACACCTCAATTTTTGGCCAAAAATGCTTTTGGCAAAAAAAAAAAAGCACTTTTGGCTCCAAAGAAAGCTTGGCCAAACACCTCAATTTTTGGCCAAAAATGCTTTTGGCAAAAAAAAAAAAGCACTTTTGGCTCCAAAGAAAGCTTGGCCAAACAAGCTATTGTTGTGCATCCCCGGTACAACCACATGATCCCCAATACAGTTTAATAGACTATGAGGGTGTTTGGCTAAGCTTATAAGCTGGTCAAACTGGCTTATAAGCACTTTTTGACTTATCTACGCGTTTGATAAAATTAAAAGTGCTTATAAGTTAAGTGTTTATAAGCCAAAAATAAGCCAAAAGCCATAAGTTGGTCTCCCCCAACTTATCAAATTTCAGTTTATAAGCACTTTAGGTTTGACTAAAATATTTACTGTTATATCCCTAAAATAATTCTTTTTAAACAAAACTCTTCGTATACCCATTTCTTCAGCTGCTTATTATTAATTTGAGCACTTTTATCCAAACACGTAACTGCTTATTTTTTAAATCAGCTTCAGCACTTAAAAGTGCTTTTCAGCACCTAATGCTTATCAGCTACTTAAATCAGCTAAGCCAAACGGGCTCTATTACTTAAACTTCCCTCCGTTTCAATTTGTGCGAATCCATTTGACTGTGCATGGAGTTTAAGAAAAGAAAGAAGACTTTTGAACTTGTGGTGTAAAATGAGACACATATATTTTGTGTGGCTATAAATTATTACAATAAGTTAAATTATTTCCAAATAGGGAAATGAGTCATTCTTTTTGGCACGGACTAAAAATAAAATAGGTTCACATAAATTGAAACGGATAGAGTACTTAACTCTTTGTGGCAACTCAATGGAATTTTTACGTAGCTATACTATAATAGAAAATTATTTACCACCTTTATTTAGGTTCCTTATGAATCACTTTGGATATATTTACAAGTTATATGCAAAACCATAATTAAGAAGAAAATTCAAGATCCCTTAATTTTATCCCGTCAGTTACACAACACCCACCCTCATTTCTAATAACCCCCTACAATTAAGATTCTGTTTTTTTTTTTCAAATGATGTCAAANCCCCAACCCCCAGAATTTCTGATTCTTTTCCTTTTCCAAAGGTTTTCAAACCCAATTTCCACTTTCTTACTAATCACCCAAAATTTCTATTTTTTATTGATACAATGCAACCGAAATTTGGAATATTGCTCTAGAATCAAGCTATGGGTAAGTTTTGAATCTTGTTTTCTTTCTTTCTAGAATCTTTATTGTATGTTACTTGTAGATGATACATCAATACCCAAAACAATGCTTGATACAATACTAATACAATTATAATACGATTATATTAGATTTTTCAGCTGACATTAGCCTGACAAAAAAAATACAATATAGCATTACTCTAAATTAACCCTCTTTCATACATTACTCTAAATTAACCCTCTTTCAAGCCCATATAGCAGACTTAACCAAGATACATCTCTCAATTAGCAGAAATGTAATTAGAACCCAAAGAACAATAGAAAGAAAAAAAACGAGCTCCTCGCGATGACAACTTAATAATGTTTTTTAGTTCACAAAAAGAATAATATTAACTTCGTGTGGTAGTACATACATAGCTCCAAATGATTCCTCTTTCAACTTCAGATAGCTGAATAACTCGCAGAAATGTAACAAAGTGGGAGCAAAAAGAAAGAAAAAGGAACAAAAAGGGGAAATAGGTCCACCTGGACATTTCAACTAAACTACATACAGATTATACAACATCATATTACAGAAGATTCCCCCCCCGTCCTCAAATGTACACAAGTATCTCCTCTCTATAACACCTACTTTCCCATTAACTCACATCATGTGGAGAAGTCATAATTACGTGTTGCGTCGCATGAATGTGAGATGCTCTTTTTCGATGTCATACTGATTTTTCCCACAAGACGAGCTTGAAAAAATGTTGCTAGCTAAAACTCGAGCAACGAACTATACCATAGCCACGGCCTTATAATCCAACCCATTTCACCCAGCTGAAGATTTTGCCAACTCTGAACGGTAACTCATAATCTTTGGCTACAGCAGGCTCCCTTTTTGCTGTCTCGGGTTCAGACCAAACATACACCCCACGCTCTTGGCGACTGCCTGGTACAGTGTTGTCGAGGATCACAGCTACCAGGAATGCAATCACCATGTGAAGTGATAACAATGTATTCAAAACGTAGTTTAGCTGCAAAAGAAACATTTTTGTGAGTCAGGACAGATTCAAAAGAACTTTAGTTTTATATGATATGTGGAAGATGCATACCCCTCCAAATTTGGTGCGGATTGGACCATGAGATGCCACGACATATGGTTGAAAATAACTCGGAACGGGCAAGTTGCTGTTTGGAGAGATGCCATACTGCTGGAAGTAGGCTGGTATAGAAAGAGACAGGAACAGAGACAAGCCAACTATGATAATGTTCCTTGAGCTTCCCGCTTCACTATAGCGTAAATTTGACAAGCCCAGGGCGGTAAGCATTGCCCACATAAAGCACAATAGGGCTGCAACCATGACATCTGGTATTGACGCAATAAAGCCTCCTACTTTACCTATTTGCATGTCAGAAGAAAGGTGCATGGTTACCATTATGTTGCTATGACAAATAGGAGACTTAATATAACAGAGTATGTATCAATCACACCAGTACATGGCTATTCAAGGGTAAAAGTGAAATACATAGGATATCCGCAATTCCGATCTGCAATCTTTAAGACAAATGGCTGCTGCTAATCATTCTTTGTTCTTTATAAATGTCACAGTAAATGGCTTTTGATAGTCAAGATTACTAATGAAACCTAAAGGGTAGACCAACCCTAACCAACAAAGCTGCTGCTGCTTCAGCATTAGCAATGTCCTGACCAAACACTTGCCAAAGAGGATTTTTTTGATAAAAGGAGAGGATATTCTTTTCTTTTCAATCTTCCTTTTTGGAAACAAACAAATCCCCAGTGCCTTAGTTGGTCCAGCTCCTGTTGGTGTAAAGGTACGAGAATTAGGGGAATATGGATCAGCGGTTCTACCAACCCCCCACTTAAACACCAAGCGTAGTTTCCACGGGCTGTTCGCCTACACAAATCCTGGCTATGTACTTCCTTTACCATTAAACCAAAGCCCTAGGCTTTTTCTAGCCTAACCCCAGTTGGCATGCTGTTCAATACTCGGGGGAGTATGGGTCTGCCCCTAATTTCTTTTGAATCTTCCTTATTATTGTTAAACATAATTCTTTTCACAATTCTGTAAGTTGTTGGG